TTCAAATGATCAGTGGATGAAAATCCTTCTTCGGACACATGATTAGAATTGACTCGTTTTATAGCGATCTGAACGGGATTTGGTGCCACGAACCCGAGACCAACTCTAGTTTTTGGAATTCCAGTATCCTTCCTTTGAGCTTTTGCTGCTTGCGGAATAAGCGTTCCCAAAGTACTCACTTTTTTTGGATCGTATCCAGATTTGAGGAGAAGTTTATAAGCTTTTGGGTCGTAATGCTTGGAATTTTGGAGCTCATCTCCATGTTCCGTCTTAGCTCCTTCAATTGGGCGAACAAACTTTCCCAAGGGCTGCGTGGTTGGTTTCTTGGCATCGAGGTTAGGCAATGGTAATACCAGTCCATCCAGAGGGTCTTTCTTAGCGAGATTCTTGGCTTTCTTCTCTTTGGCATCACTTTGTTGTTTGATGGGAGTTTCCTTATCATGAGCAGACTTGGTATCTTCAAAATAGTATTTGGCATCGGCGAAATAAGACTCAGCCTCAGCAAAAGGCTTATCGTCTCCAAGAACTTTTCTTACCACACCATCTTGGCAATATTTGAAACATTGGTGCCAGGTAGAAGGCACAACTCCGTACTCATGCAACCAAGGACGTCCTAGAAACATGTTATAAGAGGTTTTGGCATCTATCACATGGAAAAGAGCATTTGAAGTCATCTCCCCGATTACTAACTTCAATCTAATTATGCCTATAGCACGTTGCCCCCCTTGGTTAAAACCTTGAATCATCAACCGACTAGTTGAGAGTTCATCTGTCGGAACCTCCAGCTCTTTTAGAGTATGCAGAGACAAAATATTCACAGCAGAACCTCCATCTATCAATATGCGATTCACCTTTCTCTCGCGAGTGTAACCAGTTACGAATAAAGGCCTATTGTGAGGTTTTTTGAGCCCAGCATCAAGTCTTCATCCGTGAAGGTGACTGCTGCATCGTTGTCTTCATGATCGCATCGTTCTTTGTCATCAGTCGACTCCTCATCACTTGGGACATCATCTTGCTCGCTCGTCACATTACAAACGAAACTTTCAGTTCCTTCATCGTAGTTTACAATTGAAGCAAAGTTCGCAGTCCCTTTGTCTTCTTCAAGTGATATCTTACCCTGTCGTGCTAGCTGCATAACTCTATCTTTGAAGACGAAACAATCTTCAATGGAGTGACTCACCAAACGATGATACTTGCAGTATTTTGGATTGTCAACTTGTCCTGCTTCTTCAGGTCGTTTCATCTCTGGCAGTTTGATAAGTTGTTCCCGAATCAAGTCGTCGGAAATTCCAGAAACATCAGAGTCGAGGAATGGATATTGTTTGGCTTGCATCTCTTTCAAGCTTAATTTTCTTTGCCCCCTGTCTTGAGGGACATCTTTCTTTTCCATAGCCTTTTCACTTGTGGTTCCCTTGAGTTTCATAGGCCTTGCATTGACCGCCATTGTTTCCTTTACCTCTTTGTTAGGTGCTCTAAAGGAGAACTTGCCCCCTTTCTTGGCTTCATTTCGGTCCTTGAATCTTTGAGGCTCATGGACAGGTGGATTCTTGACCCCGCTTGCAGACATGCTCAACTCCATATCATGCGCTCGCGTGGCCAACTCTTCAAACGACTTTGGTTGAATACCTTGCAGAATGTATCGGAGACCCCAGTGCATCCCTTGAGTACACATTTCAATGGCCGAAGCTTCAGACAGTCGATCCTTGCAATTAAGGCTCAGATTTCTCCATCGGTTGATGTAGTCAATAACAGGCTCTTCATCCCACTGCTTTGTATGAGTGAGCTCAATCATGCTGAACGTCCTTCGTGTGCTGTAGAAGCGATTAAGAAACTCTTACTCTAGTTGCTCCCAGCTATCAATAGAATTTGCCTCCAAGTTGGTGTACCACTCGAATGCATTTCCCTTCAATGATCGAACAAACTGCTTTACCAGACGATCTCCATATGTTCCAGCATCGTTGCAAGTCTCGATGAAGTGAGCAATGTGCTGTTTCGGGCTACCTTTACCATCGAACTGTTGGAATTTGGGCGGTTGATAT